CATTAATTTGGAAAATCTTGCAAAAATAAAAATAATTGTCGGATGTTAATGAAACTTTCAGAAACTATTCACAAATTATGGAAATTATTATAAATATCTTTTCTCTTTTTAAAGTCATAGAAAAAAAATTTTATATTTATTACCCCCCCCCATAACTAATTTTATGAAAACTCTAGAAATTCAGTCGCATTCAGTTTAATGTTTATATCAGTTAACACAAGGCTTTGAGGAAAGCAAATCATGTATTTTTGTTTTTAATTGGATCCGCAGTACCTGAAAATCAGCTCTGAATTGTAACATACAAAACTCAATAAAACAGATATTATTTAATTTCAAATGCTTTTATTTACTTTTAGTTGTTTTTATGAATATGGACAATATTTTCTGAAAGCAAAACATTTTTTTCAATGAAAAGTGAATTTTTAATACAGTTATTTGTTATTTCTTTAATTATAATTGATTTTTACATTTAAGTTGTTAAAATATTATAAAATTAGTTAAAAGCCGCATTCAGTTTCGTAAATGTCTTTTTGAAATAGATATTTTTAGCCCGTTGTAAATTGTATCGTTTTTGACTAATCAGAAGATCCGCAGTAATTAAGAAATCTAATTTTCTGTTTATAATCGGGCTGTAATTATAAAGTACGGAAGACCAACCAAAATACAATTCATTTACCTTATTTGAGTTAACCATTGTTCTCCGCTGTTAAGGCCTTTACTTTTAAGAAACACACGTGGAGAAGTTAATTTGATTTTTCAATTTTAACTGAAAAGTGTTGGGGCGCACCCACCTTCTAACTAGTAATGGACTGGTCCCTCTTATATAAGTCAGCTCTGGAGAGAGTGAGGAGAGCGTCAGAGAGAGAGAGTCAGCGTGAGCAGTCCAGATAAGCTTACCCGGTACATACCGTTGGACTATAGACTTTGGATAATGTTTCGTACTAACCAACCTTCGTTCTACTAATCATTCTATTGTGAATTGCTTTTATGAATATACCAGTATTTTCCTCTACAACTGTGTTTGTCTTGATTCATACACCGACACGCGGGAAACTCACAACATCTCAACAAAAAGGGTACCTACAAATATCAGTATCATCTTGTGAAATTTATATGATCTTATTTTTATATAAATCTCAGTTATGACATTTTTTCCATAAATGAAATATCAAAATTAATAATAAAATGAATGGAAATATAAATAACAGTAAAATGTAATAAATGCACATAAAATTATGGTTTTATGTACACTTGTGAAAAATTTCATAAGAATAAATTAATAAATTAGATACCTTTCTTATGAAATTTAATCTCACTTTCAGCAGTCTTATTTTAATTTCTTTATAATATATTTTCCATAAAGCATTGTAAGTGTAAAGGTAAAAGCTAAGTACAAAAAAAAATTAGAGCGCTGAAAGTTTCCCTTAAAAATAACGAGGTAAATAATTTGTTCACTTAAATCTAAATAATTTCACTTTTCTCCTTCCGTAGAATAAATTATCCTCACGTAATCTGTCAATACGTCATTCATCACCTGTCAAGTGACGCGAAATGTTATGACCTGCATTGTTTTATTTTCAAACTACATCTTTTCGGCGCAGAAACTAAATAATGCTTGTTTCAAAATATTTTAAATAAACATTATAATTTCTGATTTTCTTAAAATAAGTTTTGAAAAACTTATAATTGATTTTTAAAAGAATTTCAAACTGAGATTTCCATTATTTTTATAAAATTGAAAAAAATGGTTGATATGATTGATTATCTGTCAATTTTGCTGACTCAAATAAAATAAAATTTTTAACGAAAATTTCGGACGTGCTAGGAACAATTAAAAAATGTAAAAAAAAAAAATACCTCCAAAATACTTTGAGAAAAATTCAGTGCAAAATTCAAGAAAACCCAAAGATTACTCGGAAAAAATGCAGGAAGAATTAAAAGCATCAGGTATTATTGTTATGAAGCAAACAATAAGCAATTAACTTCATAGAAGTCAACTTCTCCAAGAAAAACATCCACTACGAGTTACAATTTGTTCGTGAGCATAAGAATAAACCTGAATCATTCAGGGAAAGTATTTTATGGACAGATGAAGCAAAATTGAACTATTTGGACATAAACCAAGGGCTCACGCTTGAAGAAAAGACGATACAACCTTTGCATCGAAGAACACAATCCCAAAGGTGAAATTTGGTGGTGGCAATATTATGGTCTGGGGATGTTTTTTTCTGATAATGGTACAGGTAATTTAGAGATAATAGATGAGAGAATGAATTCAAAAATATACCAAGCTGTTTGTGACTCTAATTTGTTTGGGTAAGAAGTAAAGCTTGGACTTCCAAATGAATGGGTTTTGCAACAAGATAATGACTCATACGGCTAAAACTACGAAAAAATGGCTTATTGAAAACAGTGTCAATACACACGAATGAACATCAGTCTCCAAACTTGAAACCAATACAGAAATTGTGGCGCTTATTAAAAATTCTGGTTAATAAAAGATCTCCGAAAAAAATCCTGGACCTAAAGAGAATATACAAAAAGGACTGGAGTTAAATAGCAATGGAAACTTGCAAATCATTGATTAAAAACTAAAGAAACAGACTGATTGCTGTTGAATTAAATAAGGGATATGCTAGAAAGTATTAAATAAGTATCATAATGTTGTACGAATATTTTTGCGCCTCTAAATTTCATATAACTTCATTAATATAACAAATTTTTATTGCAACATTATGCCATGGTATACAAATATTGTATGGATTATAAATTTTTTTGTAAAATCTAACTAATATATATAGTTAGATTTTATATATATATATATATACATATATATATATATATACACAAATATAAATATATATATATATATATACACACACACACACACACATATATATATATATATATTTATTTATTTAAAGACATTTTTTATGTTTAACGTTGTTATTTTATAGGATACAAGTATTTAAGCAAATGCTCTGTTTATGATAAACAGTATTAAATAACATTTACCGGCCTGAAAAAAATTTTCATAGAAAATTTTCGTTCTTTGACCGGAATTCGAACCTGCATCCTATACGGAACCGTCATATGCCGGTAACGTGCCTTTACCTTTAGGCTAAACAGAGCATTTGCTTAAATACTTGTATCTATAAAATAACAACGTTAAACATAAAAAAATGTCTTTAATAAATAAATTGTCGGACCTTGTCCATTTCTTAACATATATATATATATATATATATTAATATATTAATAGAAATCTTATAAGTATAAGAAACTATACTCGATCGGAAAACCTTCGGTGTCTTGATTTGCAAATAATCAAACCAATATCAAAGGTAAAAAAGGGTATAAAAAAGAAAGAACCAAGAACTTGTACGTTAGCCGAAAATAATCGTCTCGCATGCTAGTCCAAAGCTTGAGAATTCCCTGACGATCCGCTTAGGTGAAACCTTGGTAGGTTTGTCTGGCGCTCTAGGTTTAACTATATATACAAATATATATATAGTTACATTTTATTTATATATATATATATATATATATATATATAAGGAACACTTGTCGGATTTCAAATTTGTTATACACAACAAAAATCAACTAATAACATTTAAAATTTAAAAAGTGTTATAAAAATTATGAAATGGATTATTTTAAGATATTTTCTGTTTATACGTTATTTTTATAGATACAATTAAGTAAATGCTCTGTTTATAATAAACAGTAATTATTACATTTACCGGCCTGAATGTCCGAGAACTTTCATAAAAAATATGTCTACCGACAGGAATCGAACCTGTATCCTACACGAGAAATGTAGTCAATACTGTTTAGTGTAACAACAAAAATAAAGACATTATTCCGACTGTAAATAATGAAAACCTCCATTTCTGCCATCCATCAGTATGGCTGATACTAACCTCCATGAAAGTGTCTCGTTACGCCTTATCAGGTTGACGTTATCAGCTGACGTGAGGTGTAAAGACTATATTGAATTCATTGTTAGGTCAGATGCTAAGAAAGTTGGTTCACTGTGTCGTGCAAGACAATGTTTCTCTCCAGAATCTATCTTACATATCTACCATTCGTCCATGCTTAGAATATGGCTGCCACCTGCTATTTACCTTGAGCCCTTTGATAAAACCCAAAGAAGAATCAACAATGTTATTGATCCTGATCTGGGGGCTCAACTTCAGTCACTTTCCCACCGCCGTTTAGGTGCCTTTTCTATAAGTACTTTCATGGTAATCCTTTTGGTGAGTTCTTCGCCATGGTTTCTAGACTTTTTGAATTGAAGAGCAGTACTCGATTCCATTCCAGTTGGCTTTCCAGTCAAATTTAATCTGCAAATATTTAAATGCAATGCCAATCGCTATCTACTGTCCTCCAGATTACTCTTTCCTCTTCTCGTTTCTCATTACTCTTTCTGTTCTTAATTCTTCCACACCTTGTAACCTCTTGTGTCTTAGTGGCTTTACTGCCTTGCATAAAGTGATACCAATTAAAAAAAAAAACTATTTCCAGCTCGCAATTTTGTAATTACATTGTACTTTTAAATAGCCTAGTATTTCCTTCGGTTGTTGAAAAAGCGAGTTGTTTACCCGATTTTCGGCATCTAAGCAAACATCATTATATTTAGTGTATCAAAATGCAGGAAGTTTTTGGAAAACGAAAATCCAAAGCGGAGAGAATAAATAGCAGGGTAATAAGAGAGGTGGGGCTTTGGGAGAATATACTGATGATGGGGGTGGTTTTGGCGGTTTCTAAGGAATCATTATGGAAGTAGTGGTAGAGATGGTACTGGTTAGTAAGTAGGAAAGAAGTAAATAAAAAAGTGTTTCCTTTTAAAGTATGAACCGGGAAATAAAGGAAAGCCATTGAACAAAGATGACGTCCACCTACGCACGGCAGCCATATGTCATATGCTAACGACTTAATAACATTTCCGCCTTTTTAGACCAATATGACTTAATCATCATCTAACTCAATCTGGTCAGTATCTATCTATCTATCTATCTATCTATCTATCTATCTATCTATCTATCTTCGTATATATGTATCGGATTCTCTTCGTATCTATCTATCTATCTATCGGTTTCTCTTCGTATCTATCTATCTATCTGTCTGTCTGGCTACCTATCTATCTATCTATCGGATTCTCTTCGCATCTATTTATTTATATATAGGGTTCTATTCGTATCTATGTATCTGTCGATTTTTATATCTATCTACCACTTTACCTCTCTCTTTCTCGCTCTCTATATCTATCTATATTTGTCTCTTATACCTATCTATCTCCATCTGTTCATTATCTACCTCAGTCTATTCTTTACTATCGTAACTATTGGTTTCTATCTATCTATCTATCTATCTATCTATCTATCGGATTCTCTTCGTATTTATCTATCTATCTATCTATCTATCTATCGCTTTTTATATCTATCTACCATTTTACCTCACTCTTTCTCTCTCTCTATCTATCTATCTCAATCTTTTCATTATCTATTTCAGTCTGTTCTTTATCTTTCGGATTCTGTTCTATGTATCTATCTATCTGATTCTGTTCGTATCTATCGCTTTTTATATCTATCTGCCATTTTACCTCTCTTTCTCTCTCACTATCTATCTATCTGCCTATCTGTCTGACTCTGCCTATCTCAACCTTTTCTTTGTTTCGGATTCTGTTCTTTCTTTCTATCTATTATTTATCTATCGGATTCTGTTCGTATATATCTATCTACGTATCTATCTATTGAATTCTGTTCTATCTATCGAATTCTGTTCCTATCTATCTATCGGATTCTGATTGTATCTATCTATCTGATTCTGTTATATCTATCTATCTATCTATCTATCTATCTATCTCAATATGTTAATTATCTATTTCAGATTCTATTCTATCTATCTATCTATCTATCTATCTATCTATCTATCTATCTATCTAATTCTGTTCGTATCGGATTCTGTTCGTATCTATCTATCTATCTATCTCAATCTGTCAATTATCTATCGCAATCTGCTCATTATCTCAGTCTATCTATCTCAATTTGTTCATTATCTGCCTCACTCTGTTCTTTACCTATCTACCGGTCTCTCTCTCTCTCTCTCTCTCTCTCTCTCTCTCTCTCTCTCTCTGTTTATCTACCCGTTTGTCTGTCTGTCTCTTTCTAGCTAGCTAGCTAGCTATCTATCTAGCTATCTCTTTCTATCTATCTAGCTAGCTATTTTTTCATTCTATACGAGTGTCGGCTAAATGGTAATGCTTGTTCTTCTTTAATTAAAAACGGATTTAATAATAGTAGCGCCCAAACATATAAAAAATACAAATATATGAGGTTTCATAATCTTCTTTTCAGTCTTCGTCCTTCTCAAACGTGCTCTTCCACCTATATATACTAGCCATGTAGAAGCTTCATGGCTGCCTCCTTAGCCACGTGCCTGTTAACTTTCTCACCTCATCATTGTAGAATTGTTGTCCTCTATGACTCTTCTACTTTGGAAGGTGCTAGCCGTATTATGGCGCCAACCACTTCTTCACGGAGCCCCTCTCAGCATTCTAGAGACTCACTTTACACAGACGTTTAAGTGACCAAGACTTCAAAACTGCAGGTACTACCAGGGCTTCACCTGAACGCTTTTATGATTCTTTCTGTCAGTTGTAATGAGGACACCAGCCTTTTTGGCCTAATCTTTTTTCACAACAAAAAAAAGTTAACCTGCCACTAGGGCACCTATCACTTTCGATTTGCTTCTTCCTCCCTAATTACTAGGAAACGTAGTTGATGTAATGGATAATGGCTCGAAATGAGAAACCTGAAGAGCCGAGTTCGAATTCCTGTCGGGTTCATTACATTCACTTTAGAAAGGTATTAATTCATCTCCTCCCTCCAGCTATGGGTGAAATAGTGGAATTAGATCAAAAAAATTTATTCTTAAAACATTGTTAATACCAATCACTTGCAAAGAAAATTATTACTACAAACCAAAATATCTTTTGGCTTTATATTACCTACAAAGGTTTGATAAGCTATAAGAAAGCAAATCAATCGATAACGCAAACTTTCCTGATTGTTAACAGGCACCATCTTCACCTCCACCCCCAATTACCACTACCGTTATAACCATTTACTCAGAACCCGCCAAAAACACAACCACAACCGCTGTCTTCTCCCAAATTTTAATTTATCATTACCCTGTCATTGATTCTTCTTTTTTTCCCTCTCTACGTTTGCTATTAAGTCTCCTGGGCCATCTTCTTACAGTGCTCACATCAAGTACAGCCTTTCCATAAACATTCACTACCCCGCACCATGAATGCGTGTAGGATTTTCTCCTTCCCGAAGCAGAAATTCTACATCAGCTCTTTACTTTCAATGTATGCCCAGTGGAATAGCAATTCTTTGGAATGGATTATGGACAGGAAAAGAGAAGAAAAAAAATATTCTTCAGGTCTTCTAGTCACTTTGGTATTCATAGCGGAGGAAATATAACTATGGTTTTAAAAATTAAATTAGAACCGGCATTACTTTTTCACCTTTTTCACTTTTACTTTTTCACATCTTCTATGTTTTATGTTTCATCCATTTATCGATTTTGAACCAGTTTCTTTCGATCTTTTTTATCCACCCACGACTTTATTCATATTTTTATTTGTCTGGATCAGTTAAACTATCTCGGACTAAATCTATTATTTTAGTCTGGACCAACCTCCATACTTACCTACCACACTTACCTACCTACCTACCTACCCAAATATATATATATATATATATATATATAGTTAATTTATTAAACAGTATATTTATTTATTTTCGTCTACCGGCCTGAATATTCGATAAATCTTATTAAAGAAAAATATGCGCTCTCCGACGGTTCCTTTTGATGATAAAGAGTCCTTGTTGAGTGATATGTATATAACTTCCTCCTTGTTTTCTGTTATTGCTTCTACACTGGAGCCACACAAATCACGTGGACTTGATGCTATCCCTGCAAGAGTCCTTAAGAAATGTGCTCCCAAACTGGCTCCTGTTCTCTCTAAACTCTACAATAAATGCTTTGCTGCTTCTTGCTTTCCTACTTGTTAGAAATCCTCTTTTGTAGTTCCAGTCTTTAAGAACTCAGGCGAACTGTTTAATCCTTCTATCGACCACTTAGCCTTCTACCTCTTTTTAGCAAAGTAATACAGACCCTAATCAACTCTGAATTAGTTAAGCATCTCATATTCTTCCAAACAGGCAATATGGCTTTCGTTTCTCTAGATCAACTGCTGATGTATTAACGATTATTGCTGAAAGAGTCTATCAAGCTTTAGATAAGACTGAAGTTTTGGACATCTCGAATGTATTTGACAGGGTTTGGCATGACGGTCTTCTTAACATGTTGAAAGGTTGTGATATTTCTGGACAAATTTTTGAACTGATTCAGTCTTTCTTATCAAATCGCGAAATGAAAGTTATCCTGAATGGTCACTCTTCTCGGTCTTTTCTTATTAATACAGGTGTCCTCCAGGACTCTATTCTTGGACCTACGCTGTTCATAATTTTCATAAATGACCTTTCTGTTGGCATCAAGGTCTCAACATCTATGTTGACGAGACACTTATTTACTCTTGTCTTAATAGTAAATTTGATTGGTTCGATAAAGTCAGATTGGCAGCTGATCTCAAAAAAGACCCACAATATGCTGTTAACTAAGTCAAGAAATGGCTTTTTAGTTTGAATGTCTCCAAAACGAAACTGTTCTCTGTTAATCTGAGAGACGACTTTCTGTCTTCCATCAGCATGGATTGAATAAAGGGTTCAATTCAAATTTCCAAGAACGTTACCAACGACGGCAGACACCTGAAGAAGACCAGATGGTACAAAGGCCGAAACGTTATAAGTATAATAACCAAGATGGGTATAGACATCTTATAATAAGGAGTAAATCTAAATAAGTATATGGACTAACAACTTTTCTTACCGTTAACAAGAAAAACAGTGGAAATGACAAAACAAGAAATGAAGATAAGTAAAAGATTTTATTTCCTGTGCTCAAAAAGGTTCAATCATTTTCTCGTTCCGAAGTATCGTTTAGCAGTCGTGGGTGAGTGAGCAGTCGTTCTGTAGTAGTCAAGATAGAAACATGAAGAAAATCAACACGCATATGGAGTCAAGTGAAAGAGACTCGAGGGAGAAAATCAACATGCATATGTAGTAGTTGAGAGTTAGTCTCTGCTTCTGCTGATTTTGTCGCTGACCGAAGGCATCACTTTTGATAGAGGCTCCTTGGTTTCACTGTTAATGATCTGGTTAAGCTTGCCCGCCGTGGTGTTCGACGCTTCGTCGGAATTGCCTTCGTGTATGATATCAGCCTTGACTTTATTGTCAGTTAGTGGCTCAGAAACGGCTGCTGTGAAAATCACGTGGGCTTTTTTTCTGATTGATAAAAAAAAGATTATTTTATGACGCTGGAATTTTTGGACGGTATTTCGGAGCTGGGGCGAAATTATGTCGAGTCGAAGTGAGCACTACCGTTTGATTTAAAGAATTAAGTAAAAAGAATCTCATTCGTCCCTTGTTTACGTTGCTTATCGATTTGTTCAGTGTATTAATATTTTTCGATTTAAGTTTTACTTTTACTAAAACAACAATCAATTGTAACGGAAATGTTTTAATTTTTAACCGACTGGATCAAAATTATTTATTGATTTTATTTATATGGATTTATTATCTTTTAATAAGGTTCAATTACAAACTATTTCGATCTTTTGCTCCAAAAGAAACCCGATTTTTCTTCTAATTTTTAATATAGATGACAACCATACACTAAATGTTAAAAAGAAATAAAATGACACCACCAACCTTTTAAAAACTTAGGTCTCTTGCAAGTTCATAGATTTATTAAACTCAAGAAGATATTTGATGATATTCAAACTGGATATCTCTTCAGCAGAGGTTCCCATAGTAGGTTCCAAGGAACTCGGAAGTTCCGTAAATGAGTGTTTAGTGTTCCGTGAGAAAAATTCAGTGTAATAAATGTTTAGCATGACATATTATCAAGGTTGGTAAAAAAAACAGTTGCCAACAGATTTTGATTGTTCTATAATGTTGTGATGTATCTTGTATTACTTTTCTATATCGTATATCAACGAATGATAATTATATCATGCTACTGCTGAATTGAAAGTAGTTATTGATTATGACATCATCTGTTTACTATGACACCACATAAATCTGAAAGTTAATTTTCTCCCCATATTGGAAAAAGTCTGTATTTGGCGTAACTTTCGTGTGTATACATTCCGGTTAAAAACACAACACCAACCTACTTATGTGAAAGTGGATTTTCCTATTACACTGCTATAAAATTTAAATACCGAAGTAGACTTAATCCTGCTGCTGACTTGAGAATCAAGCGCTCAAGTATAAAGACGAACATTAAAAAGTATGTGACAATATGAAACAGAAGCATTGTTCTCATTGAATGTTCCAAAGGGAATTCTGATTATGTATGAAATAAATTTCATGTTAACATTGTTCGTAATTCTGTTCCACGTGTTACTTGTGGGAAGTATGAAAATTTAAAAAATCACATTTTTATTAAAATATATATCTATATGTATTATTGTTTCATTGCTTTTTGAACATACTTATTATTTATAAAATTATATGAAAATATTTATATTACGTCCATATAAATGTATTATTATCTGGGGTACCCCCCCCAAAATTTCTGAACCCAGAAGAGTTCTACGTCTGAAAAAGTTTGAGAAACTCTGCTCTACGGTAATGTCCAAATTCATAAATCTGGTACCGCGTCTACGTCCAATTATATTACAAGTGCCAACCCCTGTGTAACCATTATGAAAAGCATTGAATCAATGGCGTTCAACTCGTCCAGAAATATGTAAACTATCGAAACATTCATCTGCATACAGCAGCTTCCTCGAATCAATGGTTTAAAATAGCTTCAAATGAATTGATCAATTCAATCCTAAAGAAGATGGTGATAAAAAATTACAAACACGGAATTTTACCAAATAACACAAAAACACGCCGTTTGATAATAACTATGGAATTAGAAGGCAAAATAATGATCTAATCAAGATGTTAACTTTCCAAACGATCAAAAACAAAAGGTTTGCAAGGAAACTCTTATCAACACTAAATATGTATTCATTCTGATTCTGC